CTAAAATGTAATTTTGATATCAAGAATTTGATTTATGTGAGTGATTATGTCATTTTTGATATCAAGAATTTGTGTTTTTACTGCAGAAAATTCCAGCAATTAAGAATTACCAGTAAAGATTCCATTCCTGACATCAAGATTGATCATTTTAACTGGACAAGTCGGCTTTCCACACACACACACACACATGTTGTGTTTCCATGTTTTATGGGGACATTCCATAGGCGTAATGGTTTTTATACTGTACAAACTGTATGTGCTACTGCCCTACACCAACCCTACCCCTAAACCTACCCCTCACAGGAAACTTTGTGCATTTTTACTTTCTCAAAAAAACTCATTCTGTATGATTTATAAGCTTGTTTCCTCATGGGGACCTCAAAAATGTCCCCACAAGGTCAAAATTTACTAGTATTACTATCCTTGTGGGGACATTTGGTCCCCATAACGTGATAAATACCAGGTACACACACACACTAAGGCAGGGGAGCCCAACCCTGCTTCTGGCGATCGACTGTCCTGCAAAGTTTAGCTCCAACTCTAATCAAAGACACCTGCCTTTAATTTTTAAGTGATCCTGAAGATCCTAATTAGTTGCTTCAGGTGTGTTTGATTAGGGTTGGAGCTGAACTTTGCAGGACAGTCGATCGCCAGGAGCAGGGTTGGGCACCCCTGCACTAAGGGAACCCTAAAATGTCCCTTCCCGCTCACCGTAGATAAACTGATTGCCATGTGATTTTTTTCCCCTCCCGTTTCCTGTCGGAAGGAATTGAATGTAGCGCATGCGCTTTGCTGATGTGGAAGTGCTGTACAGTGATAAACAAAGAAACAAATAAGAGAAAAAAAACCATTAACTGTTAGATTGTACTTCATATAATGGCAGTGAGCGCTGTACATTTAGAGTCAGACGCATTTCTAGTATGTATGAATCACGCTCTGAGCACGGAGAAAGAGGAAGTAATGGGGCTCTGCATTGGCGAGGTTTGAATGTCTTGTGTTTACGAAGTGTTGTTTAGTATAAATGTGCTTGAACGATAACAGGCGTGTTTATGAAACGGTGTAAATGGCGTTTCTCCATCAGGTGGACACAAACCGCATTGTGCACATTCATTCTGTCATAATTCTGCGTCGATCAGACAAGAGGAAAGACCGAGTGGAGATTTCCCCAGAGCAGCTGTCAGCCGCATCTACTGAAGCGGAGATATCCTTTGAGCAGGGCCAGCCGAAGCCTTTATGGGGCCCTACGCAGAATTTTACATGGGGGCCCCTCTGTGCCCCCAATAAGACTGATTATTGCCAATGCTTGATTATTGGCACACTATAAATCTAACACACCCATTATCAATTTTGTTGTTGTAGCTGTGTTGCTTACATCATACCAATGTCTCCCTGTTGAAAAAAACAGCATATGCTGGTTAGGTATGTTTTGAAGCTGCGATGCTGGTTTGAGCTGGTTTAAGCTGGTCCTTAGCTGGTCATGTGCTTGTCCTAAACTGGTCCGACCAGCACATGACCATCTAAGGACCAGCATAAACCAGCAAAGGACCAGCTTAAACCAGCAAAGGACCATCTTAAACCAGCAAAGGACCAGCTTAAACCAGCAAAGGACCATCTTAAACCAGCAAAGGACCAGCTTAAACCAGCAAAGGACCATCTTAAACCAGCAAAGGACCAGCTTAAACCAGCTCAAACCAGCATCCCAGCTTCAAAACATACCTAACCAGCATATGCTGGTTTTTTTCAACAGCATGTTTTTACCTTTTTACGATTTTTAATTGTAACAGTAGCAAACCCACAAGAGTGGTCAGGTGTTAATTTGCACTTTAACATTCAAAGTCTTACAGTACTAAGTGTTATTCTTAATGCGGTGTACTGAAAACTAGCTAAATAAACCAGCAGACAATGCATTTACGGAACAGAATGCTATTTTAACAACATAAATTATTGAACACAGCAGGAAGCCATTTGTACATCTAAAAAAACAACTCTTAATCTATAACTAGCTAATTGAGGCGTAATGATATTGGAATATAATAGCAAAGACCCCAAAGGGTAGGCAAAGGTAAATAATGTTAAGCTGTTATCAGTACCAAGTTTATGAAACGGAAGCTTATTTTTATTA